CTCTTTTTTATTTCCCTACAGTTAGCAGGTGTACCTCTGGGCGGAGCTACTGTGGCCGGGGTTTGCTTCTCACAGCTGTGACTGATTAATTCATCTAATCTGTTACTGATTAATGTGTGAGTCTAAGACATAAAATTCCATCAATGTCAAAAAAACTTCAGTCAGTATGATTTCAGTCAAATCCAGCAAAAATCAAATCAAATCACTTTTATTGTCACATCACATGTGCAGGTACATTGGTACAGCACATGTGAGTGAAATTCTTGTGTGCGAGCTTCACAAGCAACAGAGTTGTGCAAAAATACAATAACGTAAACAAGCAAGATACAAGAATGGCTAAATCTGAAACTAATAAATATATGTACAATATATAATAGTATATGCATCACTGGATGTGTATACTAAATGTTTTTCTACGTGTGTGTGTGTGTGTGTGTGTATACACATATTTTACAAATTAAATAGAGTAAACAATAAAATAAAATATATAAAAATATACAGAGGTTGGTAGTTGGATATGTGCAAAACAGTGGCATTACTGTACAGTATGGAGTGCATAATGTTGAAGTTCCAGTAGTGAAGCTGAGGTGTCTATGACGTGTTCAGCAGTCTGATGGCCTGGTGGAAGAAGCTGTCTCTCAGTCTGCTGGTTCGGGACCGGATGCTGCAGAACCTCCTTCCTGATGGAAGCAGGCTGAACAGTTTATGCTGGGGTGACTGGAGTCCTTGATGATCCTCCCTGCTTTCCTCAGGCAGCGCTTCCTGTAGATGTCTTGGAGGGAGGGAAGCTCACCTCCAATTATCCGTTCAGAGCACCGCACTACTCTCCGGAGAGCTTTGCGGTTGTAAGCGGTGCTGTTGCCGTACCAGGTGGTGATGCATCCAGTGAGGATGCTCTCAATGGCACAGCGATAGAAGGTCCTGAGGATGCGGGGGCTCATGCCAAATCTTTTCAGTCTCCTGAGAAAGAAGAGGCTGCCGCGCCTTCTTCACTGTTTTGTTTATGTGTACTGACCACGTAAGATCCTCAGCCAGATGTACTCCAAGGAAGCTGCTCACTCTCTCCACAGCAGCGCCGTTGATGGTGATGGGGGTGTGTACTTCTCTGCACCTCCGGAAGTCCACTATCAACTCCTTTCTCTTTGCGACGTTGAGGGTGAGATGGTTGTCTTGACACCAGTGGGTCAGGGCGCTGACCTCCTCCCTGTAAGCCGTCTCATCACCATTGGTGATAAGACCCACCACTGTAGTGTCGTCCGCAAACTTCACAATGATGTTGGAGCTGTTAGTGGCTGTGCAGTCGTAGGTGTAGAGTGAGTACAGGAGAGGGCTCAGTGCACACCCCTGTGGAGGTGTGTACTGCTTTAACATAACAACATGTTTATGTTAAAGCTGTTGCAGTGTTTTCAAATGATGGGCAGTGACTGTGCTCAAATATACTAGGTGATGGTGGCATTAATCATTTTTATTAAGAAATACTTTTCCACTCTGCTCGGCTCAGATGGTTTTTGGTGATAACCTCTTCAGTTTTAGAGAAAACCCTTTCACTCAGAGAGGCAGGGGTGATATAGATGATACCCACATATCAGATGTTGTTGTACTCCAGCTACTAGGCACACAACAAAAACTTTACCTTGAAAATCAAGTTGTGGATATCATAGTAGGATCATAATCATAAACCATCACAATGTAAGATCTCTTGTGTTTTCCTTTCAGTTATCCGGCTTCGAGTAATAATCCTGTTATTCTGTTGCCTCCTAACCTCACTCCTACAGTCCCACATAACTCCTGTTTGGTCTCTCAGAAGTGCTGCTCCTGCATATCTCAAGCTTCCTGGATTTACTCACCTGGCCTCCTCGTCCACCTGCCTGCCCACTCTCCACCTCCATCCTGCCTGCTCACCTCCAGTAATCTGTCCTTTCCCTCTCTGAACGCTGTGATAATTATCACTGTTTCATTTCTACACACCTCTGATTTAGTTACCAGTTCTTCTTCTATATCTAACTCTTGGTTTCTGATTATAGATCATCTTTGCTTTATCTTTCAGCACCCTCACTAAAAGTTTGTTAACCCTGAAAATCCTTTCACTGTTTACATCATAATCAAAACAAAATGTCTTAAAAGGAGGAAAAGAGATTTTTAAAAGCTAACTGAAAACATGAGCTGTAACTTCAGCTTCAGGAAAACCTCATGGTAAAAACTAGGATTTGGTGTGTGCTGCTGACCTTTGACCTGCAGCTGAACATCTGTCAGTCTGGGTTCTTCTCCCGTCACTCTGATGGTGCAGGTGTAGTTGCCGCTGTCAAAGATGTGGGGTTTCCTCAGAGTGAGGCTGAAGTCTCCAGTCTGCAGAGCGTCAGTCTTCATGGATGTTCGGTCTCTGTAACGCTGGTTTTGATCTGTCAGCTCGTCCTCTTCCTGCTGACGCTGGTGGACGGTTGGAGGATTGAGGTCGTAGCGGCTCCACACCACTGTGGTGGGTCCAGATACAAACGGGATGTGACAGGGCAGCGGGACTGACTCCGCCCCTCGTACACCTCCAGGGTGAAGACTTGGTGGGACACTGTGAGGACACAGAGACACATGAATCAGCTGTGTGCAGAGACGGCAAAAGGACAGACAGTCTGTACTTAAGTCAAAGTACAAATACGTGTGTTAAGAATACTCCAGTAAAAGTTGAAGTACTGATTTAACTTCTACAGTACAGGCTCTGAAATGTACTCAAAGTAACTCTTTGATTGGTACATGAGAAACCTTTTCTGCATACAGTAAACTGTATTGATGATGTCTTTATACTAGTTGGTTGGCAGTTGGTATAAAGGTTGAATCCAGTGAATGAATCCAAGTGTCATCTCTGCTACACTTGATGTGAGTGAACTCTGACCCTGAACAGCACAGCTGCTGTGCAGCAGTCACACACTGTTCTTTACTGTAAACTAATCACAGAAAGGTGAGCTAACCTGTTTATCCTGCAGTCATTTCTTGGTGAGGTACCTCAGCTTATTTACTGGATACTTCACAATATGAAAAAACAAATTTCCTTCATATACAGATTTAATATCTGATTTCACAACTGAAAACTAAAATTTACATTTAAAGAGCAGAATAGAGGAGAAAAGAAGAGAGCAGAACACAACAGAATACAACAGAAAAGATTAAACTAAAACAATCGAACAAAATGGCAAGAAAAGAATAGAAGAAAATAGAACACAACATAATACAACAGAACACAATTCAACACTAAAGATCACAATAGAAAAAACCCCAAATATAACAGAATAAAATAGAATAGAAGAGAATAAAGTAGAGTAGAGTAGAGTAGAATAGAGAGTATGATCAGTTTTGATGGCCACAGCGTCAGAACCTAATGTTAACAGTTTGGATGTTGGGTTAGAGTCTCTAACGTCTGATAATCGTCTGTTTCCTGTTGCTGTCTTTGGAGTCTCTGTAAGTCAGACCTTTCTGTGCTGCTCACACCTGAAGCTGTTTGGACCTCCTGCTTTAGTTCTTATGAATGTGAGGACATTTTTTTCTCAACGAGAAGTCTGGGCTCGGGAGAGCCTGAGTGCCCTGGAGGGACTTTCCCTGCCGGATACACGATGGATGGGTGGCAGAACTGGAGGATCATGTGCCTGGCGGGACTGTCGATTGAGGACGCTGAAGATATCTACCTATTCGGAACCATGATAACAGGGTTCATGCTGATCGGAGTTGGCTTAGCCCTGGTTTATCAGAGAAATAAGAGAGCGGAACCGGCTATTCAAACCCCCACAAGGCTGCCCGCTGGAATCGAAGCGCCGGGACGAGGTGCGACCTCTCACAACGAACGTAATATGGTCAACACCTTGGAGACGCTTACAGCTGCTGTGAAGGCTCAAAACAACACCGTTGAGCGTATGAGGGGAAACATCAGAGAGAGGCCTGCTCAAAATGAGACCCTTGAGCGACAGTTGGAAAACATCACGAAACGGATCACTGCAGTTGTGAAGTCTCAGAATCAAAAGACTGACAACACCATGGAACAGAAGTTTGATACCATCATGGGGAGGCTCGCGACTCTCCAACGGGAGATCGAGAGGCCAGTGTCGGAGTGTTAGGGCAGCCTGAAAATTCTCCTGGGCTGCTCGCATGGAAATTTACAAAATCAACATCAACATTGCGGACCCCCATCACGGCGCCAGCTGCAGGCCCAAGGCTGGAGCCGAACAATCACTCCCTGATAACGACTGTGTTACGGCTATTCTTCCCATCCCATGAAAGGACACCTGGATTGGCTGGAGGACTGTTTACTTAGCCTGATAGGCCGAAGGACACTATCTCAGCTGAACTATGGACACGCACACATATACACTTACACTGATAAGCACTCACTCATCCCCCCTCCCTTTCCAACGCCTTTGATGCTTGCTGCCCCTGGGAACACGAGGCGGGTCCGGGCCCGCGCTGTCGAAGAGCGGGGCGATGTATTACGTCACCCCCGGCTTAATGACGGCGCCGTTGCAGGATGGCTGCTGTGTGGCTGGGGTTACTCCACATCCCCTACCCATCCCTGTGGCTTGTCATGTCTTCCATAATGTTGTGCTGTGGACATTTATGTGCTTTTGTGCAGAGGAGTTTTTTTTGTTTCCTGTTCTCGTGCTGTCCTATCATGGAAGCACAGCATGAGTGGAGGTCTCTTTTTTTCCTCTTGTACCTTCCCGTTGTTGTGTACATTTCAGTGTTTTTCTGCAACGCTACCGATCTCCGACTTGTAACCCAATGTGATGTCTGTGTTATGTGTGTAAGGTCGGGGGGGGGTTCCCATCTCGCTGCAGGGCAACCTGCTTGTGACAAATAAAGCTTCATTCATTCATTCATTTATGAACAGTGAGGCTGAACTCAGTCTGTAGATAAACAGCAGAGTGGAGGTTTGTCCTCGATGAAGACTGAAGCTGTTCACACAGGCTGATGATAGCTGAGCCTGAACATCTGTGTAAACAGCTACAACAAAGGTTAAACGGTCAACAGTCTTTCTTGGTGTGTTGGGTGTGTTGCTGACCTTTGACCTGCAGCTCTACTTCTGTCAGTGTCCGTTCATTTCCAAATGCAGTGATGGTGCAGGTGTAGGTGCCGCTGTCAGAGGTGATGGGGTTCCTCAGAGTGAGGCTGAAGTCTCCAGTCCTCAGAGAGTCCGTCTTCATGGACGTTCTTTTCCTGTAACGCTGGTTTTGGTTTCTCAGTTCATCTCCTGCATCATTACGCTGGTGGACGATTGGAGGACTGAAGTCGTGGCGGCTCCACACCAGAGTGGGACGTGCAGGTACAGAAGAGTCCTGACAGGTCAGCAGGACAGACTCCACCCCCTCATACACCTCCAGAGCCGAGGCATGCTGGGAAACTGAGGACACAGAGACAGAAACATGAATCAGCTGTGTGTGAGTCTAAACCTGAACTCTGCATCAGTTCACTCTGAGTTTAGAGTCCACATTTTTTGGCAGCCAGATCACTGCATTTGGCAACAAACATGCTCATAGCTCAAAATGTGCACTGGTACTGAACATCCATCCATCTATTCTCTTCCACTTATCCAGTTCAGAGTCACGGGGGAGCTGGAGTCTATCTCAGCTATCGTAGTGTGGACCATGGACAGGTCAGCAGTCTCAGTAAAAAACAGAAAGAGAGACAACCATTCACACTAGGGGTGGGTTTTTATAATCGATTCATCGATTAAAATCGATTCTGGCTTGGATAATGTAAAATCGATTCATTAAAATCCTGAATCGATTTTTTTAATATAAATTTATTTAGATTTATTTATTTTTGCCCGAAATGCCAGAATCTCTGGTGACATCTCACAAAATTTCAACAACCACCAAACAGTTAAGACAGTAAATGAGAGCAGGTACACAGATTCTGCACATAGACTTAAACACACAGCGCGACCTGCGGATCAGAATCAGTTAGATGTCGCCTTTCTCACAGCTGAAAGCCGACAGCTCGCTGATTCTGATCTGTGGGCGGGTCGGCGCTTTGTGTTCACGCCCTTTATGCGCTGATTCTAAAGCTGTTAGTTTGATGTCTCTCCAAACAATATTGACCGAACCAGCAGCAAAAGAAGATCCAAATGCTTCACATAAACATCGTCATGAATTCACTTTTACTGTTTTGCTTCCATCGCGATGCGCAGCTCTCTCTCTCTCTCTCTCTCTCCCTCTCTCTCTCTCTCTGTACTTCAAGAACAGTTTCGCTTTCTTCATTAGTCGCTTGCTTGTTACGCACAAGTCTACTGTTGCTTACAGCGCTGTCAGCCGCTGTTTTTTTCCCTTTTACATTCTTCCGAAAAGAAAACCTAATTTCTACTGTTCAATACTGAACAAATTTAAACTTTTTAAAATTATTCAAAATGCAAAACGCTTAGCCGTGTCTCTACTAAAACCGCTGTAACGTCAGAGGTAATGTTCATATGTTGATTAATGGTTTTCTTTCGTTTTTGATGTACTGCAGAATATTTTTATAAAATCCCAGGCCAGGAAAATCACCTTCATGTTTTTCTTTGTTTTATCCTCAGCTACTTTGACACAAAGGCATCTGCTGTGATGCTCACACCTGTGATAAAGTCTTGCATGTGTCAGCTTCCTTTTTATAGATACAAAAATATGTAAATGTACTGATCTGAATTATAATATTTCTGACTGTCAAAATTTCCCAGATTTAAATCGAATCGAATTAAATCGAATCGTGGATCGAATCGATTCTGGACCTTGTGAATCGGAATTGAATCGATTCTAGAAATCAGTGACGATACCCAGCCCTAATTCACACCTATGGAGATTTAGAAAGATCCAATAACCCAGCCACACTCACTGTGTGTCTTTGGACTGTGGGAGGAAAGCAGAGTACTCGGAGAGAACCCACACAAACATGTGGAGAACATGCAAACTCCAAACTCCATGAGGATGCATTTTTCATAAAATCACAGAGCTTTCAGTTTGTTTATATGTTACAAGAAAAATGTGAAAATCTGAAAGAAAAAGTTGTTTGTTTTAGTTTTAGTTCAAAGGTGACGTTTGACTGAGGTTTGAATTGGTTGTGATCAGACAGCCACATGTCATCCTCTCCAGGTACAGACTGCTGTTGTCGAGTCATTTTAAAGATGAAATGTGTTTATATCTTTTTTCTGTTAGTGTCAGCTGGTGACTTAATGGGATAAGTTGGAAGCCCGTTTCTGCCACTAATCATCCTCTGACTTCATCTGTTATGGTCGCTGTAAACTTTGGCAAAGAATTGCAATCAGATTGTGAGTCTGATTTAAGGACAAAAGTGAAAAATCAAGAGAAGTTTAAAATAAAATATTATCTCAAAATCTCCTTAAAAATCCAGATGTTGTTGTGAACGCTACACCTCTTCTTCTCTTTCATTCAGTCAGAGGATGATCTTTGTATTAAGGTGGAACTTCAGTATGATTGTGATTATGTTCAATGATGGTTAGTGACAAATGCAATCGCATGGCAGGATGCTGTAAAAGGACCAAACTTCAGTCAGGAGAACGACTGAGATAATCCATCCACAATACGAGGTTAGTCATTCATATACTGCTGCATGGGCTGGGCTGTAGTTACATCCTAAGGTTTTTAAAACTGAGCTTTAAAATGAACAGTGGTGATAACAACCGAGAGAGGCCGACAGTGATCACGGACTTCTTTTAGGGGCTTGTTCAGATTAAATGGAAGAAGATTCAAAGCATTAAAACATGTTAAAAACACAACAGCCTTAATAAACTCAGAGTAGTTTGGACCCAGAAGCAGGTTTCACCAGGTCATCACTTAAAGATTGGATATCCCACCTGCTGTGAATGTTTTAATGCAGTACAGTTGTTACTAATGTCACTCGTCACATCCTGTTTATGACAGTTAAAATAAATAACATTCATATCAGAAATAAAATTGTCTCGTGTAAACTGGTTGTGGTGTTAAATAGGCCTTTACTACTGTACTTTAATGTGGGTCATAAGGCTGTTACTTCAAGAGCCATATATTTTATGATGGTGTTTAGGGCTGCACGATTAATCGTTAGAAAATCGCGATCTCATTTCCAAATGACAACGATTTAAAAAAACAAAATTTAAAAAAAAGACGACGACGATTGTACCGCATTTTGATCCGGGACATAATCTGCATGAAAACAAGCGCTCACTCTTCCTGCTCAACAAATGACAAGGGCGGAGCCTTATACCACGTGATACAGAAGCTGTGCCGTGTGATGCTAAAATTAGCAGGGAAAAACAACGGAGAGCACGTCAGGGATGACGAGAAAGTGACAGGAGAAAATCCGTCCCGGTCAACCACCCAAACATCAATAACGGGAACCTTATACAGCGCTTCCCTATACCCGTCGAACTCCCGCAGGCACAAAGACATTACGGAGGCTATCACTTATCACTGTTAGGAGGTGGTGGGTAGGTGTATTGTTGTTGTTTGGGTTTTGTTTTCCTTTTTGGTATAGGTAGGCGAGGCGGGGCTTGATGGCATTCCGGCACACCTGCGGCGCATCGGACGTCATCAGTGAGCGCTTTTAGGGAGTAGTGATGGGATTTCCGGCTCTTTTTAGAGATCCGGCTCTTTCGGTTCGGCTCACTAAAAAGAGCCGGCTCTTTCGGCTCCGAACCGGCTCTTCAGGTTGTTTTGTTGCTTTAATTAATTTATTATTAACAATAATATAAAATTATGCACAAAAGGAATTACTAACGTAAAAAATTTGGTTTTATTTATATATGTTTATATATAAATATATGCGGTGGCCCCTAGAGACAAAACACGTACGAACTCCAAAACACATTTCTAGCATGAACTGAACTTCCAAAGCAGAGCTACTAGATCACTTAAATTACACAATTGAAAGCATGTGTCTATTGTTTGTGTATTTATACACAGGCACTCATATATATTCAAATAATTTAAAAAAAAGTTCATTTACCTGTTACTACCACACACCAAATCCGGTCGTTGGTACTTGCTGGCTTGTGTAGCCACAAGATAACAAAAGCTCAACACTGCGCCCAGCATCCTGGAGCACTTCTGTTGTCTTTTGTACGTGTTTTGAGTTTTTATGTGCTTCTGAGTTTTTTGTACGTGTTTTGGAGTTTTTACGTGTTTTGGAGTTTGTACGTGTTTTGGAGTTTGTACGTGTTTTTACGTGTTTTGGAGTTTGTACGTGTTTTTACGTGTTTTGGAGTTTGTATATGCTTCAGAGTTCGTACATGATTTGAAGTTTGTATGTGCTTTGTCTGTAGGGGCCACTGTAAATATACTTTTATTTTTTCACTCCACATAAAATGTAATAAATAAATCATATAATACAAAAATCAACTATTCACATTTAAACTTTTAACTATTTAAATTTTCAGCTTTTTCCTTTTACAAATTTAAAGTGAAAACAACACAAAACACTGCAAACCACAACACAATTAAATATAAATTATAATATGAAAACATAAAGAAGATGCATATTCTCTGTCATATGGGCCTGCATGAATAAACTTTCTGAATCCTTTATCATCTGCAACTGAAAATAGTTGTGGATGATTACTATACCTTTCTAATGTGACGTTGTCCCTGGCTCTCTTTCTCTCTCTCTCTCTGGCTCTGTTCCTGTGCTACTGAGTGTAACTACCGCCCCTCCCCCCTCTGCCCAGCATAAAGCACAAGGCTCAGGTGCGAAGTGAAGCGGAAAAAAGTGCGAGAGAGAGAGGGTGAGAGAAAGAAAAGAAAAAAAAACCCACGTGACGGCTCGCGATAAGGAGCCGGCTCGCGTCGTTCACGTCAAAGAGGCGGCTCTAAGAGCCATTTCGTTCGCGAACGACCCATCACTATTAGGGAGCTGAGTCACGCACGTCTGGTGTCGGAGTATTGTCGCTGTCACAAGTGGTAACGTGTTAGCACAAGCTGAATCTGTTGATTCTACGCTGTGGAGCTGTATGTTTTAAGGATCCACGTTTTGCCTGCTTCTCTTTTGTCTTAGCCTGTTCCACTGCTTGCCCGCCTGCCTAGGTTTTTGTGTTGGCTACTGTGGATCCACGACGGAGAGCTACGTTCCATCGGGCTGCGGTCACTGCAGCAGCCGTGGTTTGTGTTTCAAGTAAGCTCTCCAACTCTCTCCGTCCACTTGTGTTTAACTTTCGGCTATCAACGGTACGCCGTAAACTGTTTTGTTCCTTGTTGTCAGGTAGCTCCGGTGCGTCATCTGCCTACCTGCATACCTCGGCTTCGTCTCATCTCTTCGGTGTTAATCTCCTGGCACATTTTTATCTATCACTGTATATAGCCCCCTTCCTTGTAAATATTCCCTATTCTTGTATATAAACTTGCATCACAACTATTTTGTGTCCGTGTGTGTGTTTCT